CAGAGTAAGGTTTCTCGGAATGACTTTTCAATCCGACTTAGGCTGGACACATCATGTGTTAGGTCTGGAGAGACGGTGTGCCAATTCCTTGCGTACGTTTAAGTGCTTCGGACGCACGTGGTGGAGCGGTGACCCACGTTTGTTGTTAGGTGTGTATAGGGCTTTGGTTCGATCCAGGCTGGGGTATGGAGGTTTCTTCCTTCAGGGTCTCTCTCGTAAGCTGGGCTCCAGGCTGGATAAACTACAGATGCGCGCTTTGAAGATTGTTTTGGGATATAGAACTTCAATCCCCTTAAATGTGATCTTAAGAGAGGCTCGGGAGCCCCCTCTGTTTGTTTGCTTCCGCTTCTTGTGCCAAAACTTCTTGTCGCGAACGGCCACTATGACGGCCCACTCTCTATGGGAGTTGTTAAGTAGTATACGATCATCTAGACCGGGTCTCCCTGGTGCTAACCGGATGGGTTCTTTCCCTCTCGTGAAAGCCTTTGACGAGGTGGACCGGTGAACCCGCCCATTGTTTTTGTCAGGTGTTCCGATATGGTTTGCTTTCGGCTTTAAACCATTGGTGTTAAGTTTACCGGTCGACCTCTTTGCCGGGTTTTCTGTACGAGAAGGGATTAACGCAGAGGCAAAGTTCAGGGAAACTTTTGGTGAAGAGTTACAGAATTCAATTTGCGTTTTTACGGACGCCTCAAGGTCGGAGGGGGCTCCGTGTTTGGGTTACGCGCTGGTCTTTCAGGATGGATGTTATGTGCATCGTTACAAGTCGGTGGGCTTCGTCTCCTCGTTTTGCGTGGAAGCCATGGCCGTTGTCGAGGCTCTGGAGTTGGCACAAACAGAGGGGTGGCGGTCGGTTGCAATTTTCTCAGACTCAAGGTCAGTTCTCTCAGCTGTACAGGCTAAGGTCGTTCCGGGCAAAAGCTCGTACTTCGTGCTCCGGATCAAGTCCTTGGTCCTGGGGTTAACCGAACGGGGGGTGCGGGTAAAGTTGGTGTGGATTCCTGGTCACAGCGGAGTGGCGGGCAATGAACGGGCGGATGCCCTTGCTAGGGACGCGATGGTGTGCGGAAGGAACTCCCAGGTGGGCGTTCCCTTGGGTGAAGTTAAGAATTTCTGGAAAGCAAAGGCAAGATCAGAGCTGTTGGATTGATGTCGAGAAGAATCTAGAACTAGGGGTAGCTATTATTGCGGTCAGTTTTTGACCGATGCCCTTGGTTTGAGCAGTTGAACTTAAGCCGCAGGGCGGTGACTTCCCTCAATCGCCTCCGCAGCGGGCACACTTCCTTGCGCGCGAGCCTTTTCAGGTTCAGGATCGTGGACTCCCCCGTTTGTCAAACGTGCGGCCTTGAAGAAACACCAAACCATATTTTTTGGGAGTGCCCAGAATATGATAACCAAAGAAAGCTGGTACTATCTGCTCTGGTCCGCGTAGTCGGACACCTCCCTCACCCAGTCGAATTCTTGTTATCCTGTCTGGATAATCTGGTGACGGCAATAGTTTGCAGGTTTATATGTTCTTTACCTATTTACATTTAAAGGTTAGTTTAAGACGTTTTGAACTCGTTGTAATTGTTTTGTTTACGTCCGTGTGAGCGTCTGTTTAGACAGTTGTAATGAGTGGTAACTGTCGTTAGTTACCGTCCGCCATGGTAAAAGTCAGCTTTTAGTTAGTTTTATCAATGTAAGAGACATTTACTTTGTTTGTTTTCTGATCATTCGACTCTCGCCGCAGCGGGTTTAGTAGTTTTAGTTTGTTTTGTTCTTTTGTGGCATGGGTAGCTACTCCTCCTTAGAGAGTGTACGTATAATCACTAAGGTAACTTTGTAGTTTTAGTTTGCTTCAGACCCGACTCCGATAATTTCTGTGTTTTGTTAATTTTAATTTGATTTAACTGTTAGTTTTTAATTTTTGTTGCGGAGTGAACAAAGCTTAAACTTTTTACCTCTCGGTGCATTGTTGCGTCTACCTCAATGCAATAAACGTCGTGTACAAACCTTTAGCTTTAAGGTGCGTTTCAGGAGAGTGCCTTCTACACACTACTCCTGCGTGGTGCTACCCGTTTACTGTAATCACTTGGTTTTCTGTATGTGACATGTACTAAGCCTAATAAGAGCGATTCCTGGGGCGTCTTTTTTACCTTAATAAAAAAAAAAAAAAAAAAAAAGATAATATCATCTACATGACGTCACATGTAAGCAAAGCAAAGGCGCGTTTATAGAGTGCGGTATAGACTGCGCGTTCTCCTTAGACCATATATACTTATAGACACGGCTTCAGACAACTATCTTGAAGCAAAGATAATATCATCTACATGACATCACATGCATATATATATAATACTTCTATATTGCTAGTCGCGTATCTTCGCAATGAGAGGCACGAGGCCCGAGAAAGAGAGACTCACGACGTCCAAATACGGGCATAGATAGTCGAGCGTCATTATGCGCAGGCGCATCTACCAAGTGAGTGCGAGCGAGACAAAGCATTGGAAAGTGAGAGAAAGAACGCGAGAAAGAGAAATGCGCAAGCGTGCTTGAATGTTCACCGCATGCGCACAAAGCAGCTGGAGAGAGAGGCTACTATATTGTCTGCACCGTAATGGTGAGCTTTAGGTCGGCACCATATATGTAATACTCCTATATTGCTTGCTTCGTATACTTCCCATGAGCGGTTTGTCCGCCGATGAAGTGAGACAAATGATAGATGTATTGACCGTTCTGCGCATGCGCTAGATTCTGAGGTAGGAGTAGGCTTCGCAGATCTTATAAAAAGTGTAGGGTAATGACAGATATTTTTAACTGAAGAAAAAACCACATAAGTTATAAAAGCAAATTTGTTTAACTGTAATTAACGATGTGTGATTTGTTAACAGTAATATATCCGCGCGGACTCAACTTCTCTAACTCTAACCTTATAAACAGTTTCTGCGCATCCCCACTGACTCCCAATCCCTCGATTCAGTGCATGCGCAAAACACACGATTCCTCTGACAGAGTGAGAGAACGATATATCGTCTGCACCGTAATGTTTTCGGAACTTTCCAAGCCAAACGAGCAATATAGGAGTATTACATATATGGTCCGCACCGTACTAGCAATATAGGAGTATTACATAGGGTGTATTTAGCCGAAGTTAGCGCTACGTAGCGGCTTCATGTAGCAGTTGCAATTGCTGCGTTACTTCTGCTGGACAGTATTGCTACGCGCAGCATGTTCTAAGTAGTGGCCGCCATTTACAATAATA